GTTAACTCGTGATTTATCTATTTTGTTATATGTAGCATCTGTAATAATTTTAAATTCAGGTTTATCATGTTTATCCCACTATATTTTTCGGCAAATGCCTATACAAGTCGGGAATATGGCATTTGTTTTCCATTCGTTTCGTTGGTTGATATATATCAGGTTTTATGGACTTCCCCCTTTTGGAATTCACCTTGGAGTTCGTTTTGTTAAAACCTTTTTCAATTACAAGTATGGGCTAAAATTTGGGAAAGTCTCCATCTTATTTAAACTTCGATGGAACCTCAAATGGGATGTAAGGAAGCTCCCGGATCGCGTTTAAGTTCAAATGCGGATCCAGGATTTTGAAAAAAGGGGGTAAAACTATACTGTTAGGAATAGAACATGTAAAAAGTCTTAGCATTAACCATATATGTAGTTCCATAAGGGGATCGGGTTCCCTTGCCCCTGCCTGCAGATCCGCCTCTGAAGTATTCTGATTTTCATTATATCGGTTCCAGATTGAAATGAATACAGATACTGTTTCAGTCTTATCTCTACGAGGTTGTAAAGTTGCCACAAATCGATTTTACCATTGGAGATATTTACTCATGAATTGTCTATTTATAGGTTTATTCGATCAGTATATCTACGAAAAGAAGTTAACTTTGCTTGACATCAATTTCAGATATCCTGACGTCATTGACTTCTGTTTTTCGTGTGTTGCTCTATAATATTTGTGTCATTCCCATCACTTCAATAGAAAATATAAATAGGCAAAGAAATGCAATTATTTACTTTGTCACACACTACGTCATAAATAGTTATCATGAATGCACCGAGCATTTTACTTTAAACTGTAAATTCTGTTTTTTATAGGAAACCCAGCTTCGCAAATCAGTCCCTAAAGTCTCATCGTGCACTCTTTCGCCTAAGAATTATCATTAAGTTATATATGTTTTTTTTAAATGATACATAAGGGAAAATATGCTTAGTTATCATAAACAGCAAAATGTTAAACCGTCATTGTCTGGGCACAAAATATGATTGTATGATTGAAGTTACCTCGAGGTTGTTACCCAAGGAACAAACTTGAGAGTAACAACAATCATATGAAATAACAAATCCGTCTTTGTTAAATCATTTGTTTGAATGAACGGCATTTGTGAGACCGCATGACATTATTACATTATAAGAAGTGGATGGTCAACATATATATGTAAGCTTCGGGTTTTATTTTCTATATGTTAAACATTTATTCACATATTATTACCTTTTTTTACAGATTAGGCATGAACAAAAACTGTTTTAATTTCGTACTTGTTAAAGTGATCTGTTGCACTGGTTGGTATTTTTGGCACTTTTTATATTTATCTCTCAAATTCCAATCACGGACGCACACCAACAACAAACAATCTTTAAACTTCAAAATTGTTCAATACTTGTTAGACGGATATTATTTTTAAATGTCTTCAGAAATGATGCTAAAAACAATTTCAAAAATAGATTCAGGAAAATAAATTAATTTGAAATATCTCGTTGCACAGAAAAACAGACATGGATGTTATTACAAAGATAGGAAAAACTTATTATAGAAAAAGATTATGTTTTATTATATTTTGATCTAAACATAGTCAATTTTCTATAAATATATATTCATGCTCTTTGAAAATAGAAATTCTTCGGTTCCAATCAAGTTATAAAAAAATGATAAAGTGCAATCGGTTATTTTAAGAACTTTGATAAACAATATATGGCAAGGAGGAAACTGTTTGTATTAAGTAGATTTTTAAATTTAAATTTAACAAGTACAAATAAGTAAAATCGTATACACGTTTCGGTATATGAAACAAATATAAACTCAATTATTTTATTCTTATGAAAGATAGCATACATCTATAGTACAGAAAAGCGCGAACCAAGAAATTGTTGTAAATTTGTAAAGATATGTGTTCTTTGCTAACCAATGAAAAAGGTTGATTGATGTTCTTTGCAAACATATAAAATAGGTAATTGGTGTTCTTTGCAAACCGATGAAAATTGATTGGTGTTCTTTCCTAACCAATGAAAAGGTTGATTGGTGTTCTTTCCTAACAAACGAAAAGGTTGATTGGTGTTCTGCAAACCGATGAAAGATTGATGGGTATTTTTGCAAACCCATGAAGGGTTAATTGGTGTTTTTGCAAACCTATAAAATAGGTGATTGGTGTTCTTTGCAAACCGATGAAAGGTCTGATTGGTGTTCTTTACAAACAGATAAAAGGTTGATTGGTGTTCTTTGCTAATCAATGAAAAGGTTGATTGGTGTTTTTGCAAACATATAAAATGGGTGATTGGTGTTCTTTGCAAACCGATGAAAAATTGATTGGTGTTCTTTCCTAACCAATGAAAAGGTTGATTGGTGTTCTTTCCTAACAAACGAAAAGGTTGATTGGTGTTCCGCAAACCGATGAAAGATTGATAGGTATTTTTGCAAACCCATGAAGGGTTGATTGGTGTTTTTGCAAACCTATAAAATGGGTGATTGCTGTTCTTTGCAAACCGATGAAAGGTCTGATTGGTGTTCTTTATAAACCGATGAAAGGTTGATTGGTGTTCTTTGCTAATCAATGAAAGAGTTGATTTGTGTTCTTTGCAAACCAATGATTGAAAGGTTGATTGGTATTTTTGCAAACCGATGAAAGGGTTGCTTGGTGTTCTTTGTAAACTGATAAAAGGGTTGCTTGGTGTTCTTTGTAAACTGATAAAACTAAAGGGTTGCTTGGTGTTCTTTGTAAACTAATCAAAAGGTTGATTGGTGTTCCTTGCTAACCAATAAAAGGGTTGATTATTGTTCTTTGCTAACCAATTTATGGCTTGATTGGTGTTCTTTGTAAAGTGCATGATAAAAGGGTTGATTCGTGTTCATTGTTGAGTGCTCATAGATTCTGAAGATAAATGTTATTTTCATTGGATGAATAGTTAAACAGATATATTTTGATAAATTGAGTGGGAGAGAAAAAAAATACAGTTGTTGTTGACATTTATCACGTACTCCCAAAATTGTCATTTCAGAAGATGAGCGGAAATGGCCTTCGTGATTATTGTAGGGAGAAGGTCTTTTAAGGATCAATTCATTTTTACATCGCTGAAATTGTGAGTCGTTAGGCAGTGTATTTTTTCGGAACCATCTGAAAGCCTGATTATTGAAAGTTCTAATATAAATTAAATATTTCAAAAATCCATCTAACAGGCTTCATAGTTCAAGAAAATAGTATATACAGCCCCGTCACATTGCACGCGCACATGTCTGTGCGGCAAGTCGGGGACATGGTCATTAGTTTATAAGGCATGAACATGGATATCTTAATAATTCAAGTTTTAATTCATTGGTTAGCGTCATAGCAACCAGAAAGGTATCACATGAATAAACCCGTTTCCTGGCATCACGAGATCTCAGCTAGTATAAATTCCCACCTTGGTGACTAGCTCTGTATGTGTTGATGCAATTTTTTATTTAAAAAATTTTAAGTGCTTTTATTGGAATTATTACTAATCAAGGTTATTTTTGCAAATGTTTATTTCGAATGAGTTTATTGGTGTGTAGAAACACTAATCTTTGATTTACAAATCTTTCGGACTGTTGATTTTGATTACACATCACTCAATGTAAACTCCTTAAAAAAGTCATTGTTACTATTGGTTATTTTCATTTAGGAGATTTAGTGTTGGTTGCAGATCTGTGGTATAGTCGGGTTATTTTGAGGTTGACATATTGTATAGACACTTCATGGATCTCGTCATGGTCTCTTGTTAGTGACTTCTTGATGTCTTTGTTTTATTGTGTCTTTGTGTGGCTATCTCTCATGCGTGTATACATGTATATCACAACTAGCACGGGTGGTGACGTTTTCCGAGTCATCCCGTTTTGATCCATTTGCCAGTATATTCAGAAAGTTGAATGTGGGCAGTATATGGAAGAAGAAGAAGAAGAAGATTTTATGGAAACGAATTTAAATTGCTGAAAAAAAGAAAATTTGACCTGTCGAAGATTTACTAATTAGGATAATATTAGCAGCTGGTATCAGCATATTAAAGTTATGAAGTTTTCACAAATACGTCGCCTTAAACATTCCGGAGCCGGTTTCACAAAAAAACTTACGACTAAGATCGATCGTAAGTATACTGAATTGTTAATGACTTACGATCAATCTTAGTCGTAAGTTTTTTTGTGAAACCGACTCCTGGTCCGAACTTAAAGTTGCTTTTGATATGTGCCTGATTTACGGATAATAAGAAATGTCCGCTACCATTCCGAGTACTAGTATTGATGTTTCCGGCGGTTATATTAATCATTACTGTTTTACTCTAACTGTAATTAGTTCCACGTCCTCTATATTAGAATTGCAAGTAATATTGAGAATTCAAAACATATAAGGGAAACTTGGATAAACCTGAGATATTCACAAGACATTGTCAAGGGTGATGATCTTGGCTTATTTTAGCCCCTCCCCCTTTTTAGTATGAAGTCTTGAAGTAGAAAGCATGTATCTGTATCTGTATGGGTACGTCATAGCAACCAATACTGCGACTCTTTTCACAAAAAATCTTACGATTAAAATTGATCGTAAGTTATACTGAAATGTGTATGACTTACGAGTATTTGTACGCTAAGGATTTTTTGTGAAAAGAGCCGCAGGTTTTTATATGACACGGATCATCAAAATAACTGACAGTAGGTATGGTATTAATATATACTAATGATAATATACCATGACATTTTTGTGGGTTTTAAAAAGATTCTTGAAATTTTTGATCTAAGATTAAGCGTTTCCAAAAACTCCCTATGCCACTATTAAACTACAAACATTTGACATAAATTGTTAACATGTCATTAGATTATACAACCTATATTTTTAATTCTTTGGTTCAGTTTATATGATCCACCAACGTAATAAGAGTACAAATATTTTGATGATAATTTTGCATACTCTTTTAATCTGCATACAACTAACATTATATCATATGTTCTGTTTTTTTCTCAGAATTATCCATGAAGGAGGTTTCACAAGTGAGGATAACAAACAATATAAACCTGTAGTTTACAGTAATACAATCCAGTCACTGGTGGCCATCATCAGGGCAATGGGCACACTTAATATTCCATTTGGTGAAAATGACCGAGAGGTTTGTATATATATCTTATATTTTATCACTTTTTACTTACAGAAAATTCAAATATATTATGACTTACTAAAATTATGACAGATGTTTTTGTACCTATAAAAGAACATATATATTTTTTTATCTATCATATTTAGGACACCAAATTTCAGATTACTTCATGCAATTTTATTTTACCCTGCAAGCAGTAAAACTTGTTCAATCATAAATGTTTCAACAATTGAACATTTGAATTCAATTCATTTAGAATGTTAACAGTGGATCAAAATGTTCATTGTTATAAAGACCTTTTTGTTCATAACAACAAATTCTGTAAGTTTTTAAGCAATAACATTTTATTATGTTATGAATTATTGCCTTTCATCATCCTAAATCTTTTGAGCAATTATATATTATCTCTCCTTGTCTTTGGTTCCATAGAAATAAAGAAGAACAAAAGTTGTTATCTTTTTATTCAAAATGTATTTAAAAGGTTTGAACATCCTTTAACTACTGTTGCATCTGATACATGGTTAATTAGAATGTTGAGCCACCAGACTTTTAGTAAAATTCTTTCAAAGCCCGAAGCTATATACTTGCAGCCATGTCTGCTCAAATGAATGTTTTGGCACAATCTGTTTGTTTATTTCCTCTTGACTGGTAAATTTAATTTAATTTCCTTTTATCAGACATTGGTATTTGCTGAAAAGCATTAAAACATATATTAGAGATTCAGTTATTAATCATTTTCTCTTTTGATATTTAACCTTCCATGAACTTTGAAAAATGAGGATTTTGTATTAAACTATGTATATCAAGTATATGCTGTACACATCTTCCTTGGCAGCTAAATATAGAAATTCTACAGATCAATATAGATTTGTGTTTAATACAACAAGTAGTTGTGTGTGTCTTCTAAGGAAAAATCAATAGTCAGCTTTACACTGCAAATGTGTATAGTTGATGCTTCAATATAAGTATACTACAGTTCCATCTGTATTTCTAATGATTTTTGATATCTTTACATAACATATTAAATGTTTTTTCATGGTGATAAAATGATCAAATTCATTAAAATATACATATGATTATCTGTTAGAAACATCATTGCTTATGGATTTTAAAGCAACTTCATCTTGCTGATATCTGTCTCACAGTCGATATTCAAGTTCAATTGGCAATGTACATTTCAAAAAGGATAAGACTTGTCATACCTTTGATATGGGGTGGGTGGTAGTATTATTTTATCAAAGAAATCTTTTCATGAATTACTGTATGATTTATGAACCTAGAGTTTTTCTCACAATTTTTAAATGAATAAAAGGGGGTGGGAATGGGAGTTAAAATTCCTTAAACATACATTCAATATAAAAATAGAGATGGTCTATGATTGCTTATGACTCTGATTGGACAACGTTCCACCAGAGACCAAAGGACGAGGATGTAAATAAATCAATTACAGAAAAAGTGTATTTCTTTCGTTAGCAACAAGGAGTGTGGATTTATTAGATTGGCGTTTTTAAGTCCTGTCATTTAACCATTCTGTTGTGCCATTGCAGAAACCACTTTATATTATTTCAGAATAAAAAGTCTCTTGGTTGCCATAAGAAGTTAAACACAATCGTTCTGAGAAGATAGTCTGCAAATCATTGCAGCAAAAATGTTGCATATTCATTATACCAGGCAGTCCATTGGCCAATCTTTTATTTTTTGTCTGACTGATTTATGCCAGTGGTACTCCTGTTTCCTGCTACAACCATTAGTTGAAAGCTAATGCCAAGACCAAATTTCTGTCCACCATGAAGGGAAATTTTGTTTAGCCTCCTGTTTAGGAATAAACTTATACCAATGTTCACACAGTTTAAATTTATCCTATGATGGTTAACTTAAATTATTTCAGTTCCCAATTGTTAAAATTTAACCCCTCTTTGGGGTATTCCCTAAAAAAAAAAAACCTACCCATTGGCTCAAATTGTTAATGACAACAAAATAGAAGACACTATTGCACATGTAATTTCCCTGTTCTTGATGTCTATGATAAAGTAATAACCTTACATTAACTGCTCTTTTGTTTTCACACAGAGAATGCAAGGCAATTTAATTGGTTTGATCCGCATTGATTCTACCTAAAATTAGGGGTAATCATGGTTTGATCCACATTGATTCTACCGAAAATTACGGGTGATCATGGTTTGACTTTGGCTAAGAAACTTTAACCCAGGTTAACTACTTTGGATTGATTGATTGAATGTTGCTTGCTTAACATCAAAGTTGGACCAGAATTAAAATTACTTGAGTTAAAAGGGTATTAGACATTAAGCATTTCCAGTTCAGAATTTCTATATGCAGTATCCCAATGTAGGAATGCTGTAGCAGGGAAAAAGATTAGCAGGGGCCCAGTAGCCAATGCCACTAAAATTTGGGTTGGGCCCTAAAATTTTCATTAAAATTCCCATAGTGCTTATGTTAATTTTCACATTGTGGCAAGTTGAGCCCTAGTTAGAAAATGTTAGTCTTATTTCCTGCTGTAGCTAACAGTTTTATTTTTATTTATTAAATACCGAGTTTAATTTCCTTAGGATAAAGAGAGGTGAAAGATAACAAAGGGACATTCAAACCCATAAGTCGAAAATAAACTGACATAAACTGACAACGCCATGATAAAGTTTTAAAATTACCCCCCAACTGAGTTTAACTTCCTTATTATTAATCATTGTTTGCTTTACATCCAGTGGCAAATATGAACTTCCTTAAGATAAAGTTTTAATTTTAGTGATGGTAATTGTTTGTTTGTTGAATTACAGAATTTAAAGCTTAACCTGATTCAAAATTTTTTTAATCACCAAGTTTTTATCAAAAAATGCTTACAATGTAAATGAATATGTGAAAAATTTCCTTATAGATACAGAGGTTCAAGTTTATAATCATTGAGGAAGTTTTATTTAAAAATGAATTTTATCACGGGATAGTTTGTTTTGGAAAAGTTAGCAAAAATGTGGTTATCTGGGTCAAAATTGCTATGCGTCATCTGCCTGTGGACCCAACTGGTCCTTAAAACAGGTTGTCAGAAGTCATAGCAATCTTGGACTAAGGTTCATCTAGGTATAACTTTGCTCCATCTTTCATAAATCTTTTCATGAGAATACATGTTAGTATTTTTAGGTCACTCAGTTTCACCTGCTCCATTATGTTCAAAGCAGTAGTAACGACACAGTTAAAGTTAAGCATTTCAGTATTTTTCTTTTGGCCAACCTACTCTAATAAAAAATAGATTTTGGTAAAAAAAAGTTAATATTTCACTTCATTAAAATTTATTTTTTCAAAAATATTTCAGTTATTTTAGTTTTAGTCCATCTCAACAAAATGAATATTATCTATTGTAGCACTGTTGTTGTCAATGATTTTTTTATGTAGAAATGTCTCACCTCAAAATTGCATGCATTAGGATACATAATAGGTAACAAAAGGTTACCTATGGTTTTGTTTCAAGCAAATAGTCACCCTGGCATATATATCATGGAAGTGCAGTTGTAGGAAAATTAGTGACCTACAGTCAAAAAGATATTTAAAATATTTGTGGCTTAGATTTAAATATATACCACCTGTTGTTGACTTTTGTTTGCTTTAATGGAAAATTAGTTATTTCAATGAAATTTTGTGCTGAAAAGTTGGGAGGAAATTTTTAAAAATAGCTTTTGTAACCATAAATATCATCTAAAATCTTCAATGAGTATCACATGTCAAAAATCTTAAGTTTATAATTTTGCTTAGCTGTACATGTATTTAAACTATTACAAGTTCAAGGATGGACACCAATTAATTTATATGGATTAAACAGGAAACTCTTACATCGAAAGATTTGTACATGTGTGATGAAAGAGGTACTATGAATTTAAAGGGGAATGAAAAACTAATGCTTATTTTTTTAAATTTTAATCTCAGAAAAAGGGGGGGGGGGGGGGGGTTTCTAGGGATTAAAAAAAAATCAGTTATATAAGTAGAGTACTGTGAAAATACTGTAAGATATCAGTTCACCTCATGAATTTGTTTGACAATTGTACTACTTGTAGCCAAGATATATTAAGAATTATAGAAATGACTGAGAAAAAACATTTCCATCTCACCATTACTCTCACGAAGGGAACCAGATTTCCCAGTGATGGAAGAATTAAGCTTTATATTTTTTTCAAGGCAAGTCATTTTTAAAATGACTTGTAGATTGATTGATTGATTTGTTTGATGACGCAGAATATAATTTCCTGACAAAAAAAAATACGTAATTTAAAGGCAAATATGTCACAAAAAATCACTTCCCTTTATGCAATACTTATCTACTTGAACTTCTCACGAAAATCTATATTTTATATCATTATGAAAATGTAATAAAGTTTGATTGGTTAAACAAATGAAATAGAATGTAGAAAATTAGACTGATCGACAATTAACTCTTAACTTAATGTAAATAAGCTACAAAACAGCTGAGGGGTTCCTCATTTCCACATGTCTACAATCGCATTGAGCATTTATAGGTGGACAGCATTTCAATATGGTCTCTTATACCTAATTTGCAACAATCTATATACGGTGTGGACAAGTTATTTCTTTTCTTTTCTATATGTATGACACTTGCACTATCAATACCTTGACATAATTAGTTTTTAAAAGATTTTGTTTTCAATATTACAAAATTAGAATGGACAGAAATAGGCTGCTGGTGGTGTTCAGGCTATAAAAGCTCCCATGCTATATATAAAGGCTCTCGAAAATTTAAGTCAAGAACAACTTTGTTCACAAAAAACAAATTGAAGAACATATTTGTTTACATAAAAAATTTCTTTGCGCATGGCCTTGATTCCTTCAAACTTTAAATATATACCTCATTTTCAATATATTGAGAAAAAATTGGAAGCCAGTCAAATAATAAATTGATTATATATTGTTGATTGAATTATCAATAGTTCTGTGCAATTTTCAAAAGCCTTGTAAACATATGATTTAATTAGAAATAAGCTCCAGGATAAGTA